AAGCTCCTAGTCTGGGGGAACACTGATGAGAAGAAGGCCGACAGAGAGAGAAAGCCTTTCCCTGGAGCTGATGCCTTGAATTTGGGCTTTTAGCCTACTTTACTGTGAAGAAATAAATTTATCTTTGTTAAAGCCATCCACTTGTGGTATTTCTGTTGTAGCAGCACTAGATGACTAAGACAATTGTCCAACTTTCGTACGCATATGAGGAAAATGAAAATACCATGGCTCGGGTCAGGTGCACCTTAGTCCTCAAACTGACATCCTTGCCTTTTAATACTTTAAAAAGTCTTTTGCAGCAGATTTGCCCAATACAATACGTCATTCGATCTCTTGACTGCTGCTTCCATGGGTGTTGATTGTAGATCTAAGTAAAATGAAATCCCTGACAACTTCAATCTTTTCTCCATTTATCATGATGTTGCTTACTGGTCCAGTTGTGAGGATTTGTTTTCTTTAGGTTGAGGTTCAATTCATACTGAAGACCGTAGTCTTTGATCTTTATCTGTAAGTACTTCAAGTCTTCTTCACTTTCAGTACACAAGGTTGTGTCATCTCATATTGCAGGTTGTTAATGAGTCTTCCTCCAATCCTGATGCCCCATTCTTCTTCATATAGCCCAGCTTTAGGATTATTTGCTCAGTACAGAGATTGAATAATGGTGAAAGGATACAACCCTGACACACACCTTTCCTGACTTTAAATCGCCTTGTTCTGTTCGAACGACTGCCTTTTGGTCTGAATACAGGTTCCTCATGAGCACAATTAAGTGTTCTGGAATTCCCATTCTTTGCAATGTTATCCATAACTATGAAGATCCACAGAGTCAAATGTCTTTGCATAGTCAATAAAACACAAGTAAACATCTTTCTGGTATTCTCTGCTTTCAGCCAAGATTCATCAGACATCAGCAATGATATCCCTCATTCCACGTCCTCTTCTGAATCCGGCTTGAATTTCTGGCAGTTCCCTGTCAATGTACTGCAGCGACCGCTTCTGAATGATCTTCAGCAAAATTTTACTTGTGTGTGATATTAATATTAATGATATTGTTTGATAAATTCTGCATTCTGTTGGATCACCTTTCTTTGGAATGGGCACAGATACGGATCTCTTCCAGTATACTGGCCAGGTAGCTGTCTTCCAAATTTCTTGGCACAGAGTGAGCACCTCCAGTGCTGCATCCATTTGTTGAAATATCTCAGTTGGTATTCCGTCAATTCCTGGAACCTTGTTTTTTGTTTTCTCCAATGCCTTCAGTGCAGCTTTGATTTCTTCCTTCAGTACCATCGGTTCTAGATCATATGCTAGCTCCTGAAATTGTTGAACCTCATCCAATTCTTTTAGGTACAATGACTCTGTGTATTCCTTCCGTCTTCTTTTGATGCTTCTTGCATCGTTCAACATTTTGCCTATGGAATCCTTCAATACTGCAACTCGAGGCTTGAATTTTTTCTTCCGTTCTTTCAGCTTGAGAAATGCCAAGTGTATTCCTACCTTTTGGTTTTCTAACTCCAGCTCTTTGTACATTTCATTATAATACTTATAATTTCATTATAATACTTTACATTAGGGTAAGGCGGATGAAGGGTATACAGGAACTCTGTACTATCTTTGACAACTTTTCTATAAATCTATATTTCAAAATAAAAAGTTAAAAAAAAGTTCCTTGATACATATCACTGATGTTTGGAGGTTCCAGATAGAAGGAGATTTTAGGTACTTATACCGTAGGGGGAAACCCTGGTGGTGTAGCGGTTAAGTGTTACGGCTGCTAACCAAAAGGCTGGCAGTTCAAATCCACCAGGCGCTCCTTGGAAACTCTGTCCTATAGGATCGCTATGAGTTAGAACTGACTCAACGGCAATGGGTTTGGTTTTGGTTTGGTTTATACCCTAGGAAGCCCTGGAGCCTTTGGAGCCTTTGTGGCACAGTGGCTAAAAGTTCAGGCTGCTAACTGAAAGGGTCAGTGGTTCGAATCTAGCAGCCACTCCTTGGAAGTCCTATGGGGCAGTTCTACTGTGCCCTATAGGGTGAGTCGGAAACTTGATGGCAGTGGGTTTTTTTTTGTTTTTTTTTTTAAATACCCTAGGGACATTCCTATGCTGAAAAGCCCTCAAGTCAATCTCAATTCCAAACCCGAGATAGCTATGGCAGGCCAATCATGACTACCACCAGCTCTACCCTAGTCAACTCCCTAATCCATTTTCATTATAAACTGGACATTATAAAACAGAGCCCAACAGACTCTCCTTCATCATACTCCTTTCGTTACATTTTTTCTCCTTAATTTTTTTTCATGGCATGTATTTTCAGTATTGGAAAACATGATTACTAATTGAGTGTGTTTAAATTTTTGGTTGGTAACATGGATTTTGAGAAATATGACCCGGTAATACAAGTCACCAATGAGGTGAGAGGCACTCTGGCATCACTGATTTGTGGTATGACAATATACCAATAAGAACTAGATAAGTAATTTATTGTGGGCGCCTTTCCATTAGGTTACGGGGGGAACCTCTGGTTTTCCAAATATGACACAGAAAAAAAAAAACAAACCCATCAGAGCTCCCTAACTATCACACAGGAAAGTCATAATTATGCTTGCAAGCCTTATCTCACAGAAATAAAGGGAAAAAAGGCAAAAGTTTACAAAACTAACACATCCAGGAAGCATCACCTAATAGAATGCTCAACCTACACAACAATGAAGCTCCAACTCTGGTCTGCTGAGCTTCACACATTTCAAAAGGGACCCACCTTAACATTAAATGCCTGGAATAACACCTTATCTCTGAGATACAGAAGCATAAAAAGTGGCTGGCATACCGTTTATCCCAATGGTAACGTGTAAGATACAAACACCTCCTTCTCCGAAGCGTACTGAAAGGTGAAAACAAAAATCTCAAGAACTCTAATAGTCCCAAATTTGGAGAGAAGCCAACTGAAGGAGTAGGCAGAGAACCTTAGAAAAACTCTCAGAAGTAAACATCCTATTTACTACTATATATAGGAAGGAGCTCAGCAAAGGCAAGGAGGGCTGAAAGGCTTGCCTTTTTTTTTTTTTTTTAAGATCTCCATGCTGTTTGGGAAATGACAAACAGCCCACATGAGTGGGATAACTCTTGGGCTTGACAGAGTGGGACTTGATATAGGGCATTTAATGGCATCTCCAAAGAGAGGAGTGTCCAGGTCCCCAGCAAGGACTGCTTCAGTCTAGCATGTGACTATTCTTGCCATATGTCATACATATGGACCAAAGGATTAAGAGGTGGTGGGTCTTCTCCACCTTCTCTTAATCCATCTGCTGGCTGGATACAGAGGACTGCAAGGTCCTACAGAATGATGGCGTCAAAAGAGGAATGGAGCCTGAGTCTCTCAATCACCATATGAAAGGCTACGTGCTGGCCAGGTAAACCTACATTCGAATGCATCAATCAGTTGTGCACATCTGAAACACTTATTTTAAAAATCCCTGAAACATAATGGCTCCAAACTCTTCATGTTTCTCATCTTTTTAAAAAAATTAACTTTAAAGGGAATTTTCAAGAACCAGAATCTCGTACTTAAAGAAAACATTTGAATTCCACCAATTTTTTACTTTATTTATTTTTCTTTTATTCAATCTAAGATAAGTTGGCAGAGAACCTGGAAGCAGTAGCTGCTAATATGCCAGTAGAAAATCTGAAAAATCTAATGGCAGCCCTAAAAGCTTTATTGTGTTGTTAGCGGCCACTGAGTGTGACCCCAACTAATGATGACCACATACACAATGGAACTAAATGTTGCCCTGTCCTGAGCCATCCTCATGATCATATCATTGTGATCCATAGGGTTTTCTTTAGCTGATTTTCAGAAGAACATCACCAGGACTTTCTTTCTGGTCCATCTTAGTCTGGAAGCTCTGCTATTCAGCATCATAGCAACACGCAAGAATTCACTGATGGATGGTAGAAAAGCTCTATATTGGACATTAAAATGACTTATGATTTGACCAAGCATATATAATAGCTCAACTGAAGCAAAACTGAGCAGATGAAATTTAGGAATCATTTTATTAATATTTCAGAAAAACTGCAAAAAATAAAACAGGAACAGTTGCTCATTTGCATTATTAGTATGTCCTAGAAGAAACAATACCTTGGGATAAAAGCACACAATGGTTTATCTTCAGCAGAACCTCTCCCAGGGAACTTTTATAGCAATAATGTAGGGAAATGTGTGTGTATGTTTTAAAATAACACAGAATTGGCTTTAAAACAATTTGCTAACGAACCATTTGTTTTAAATTGATAAGAAGTGCTGAATATTTAGTGGAAGGTATGCTAAACTGGCATC